CAACTCTTCATTTTCCATTCACACCTTTTAAAACCCAACAATCCCCCGCATGAATGGGGAATGACTCCAAGACAAAGAAACGAACAAGTGTATATATTTTACAAGCAAGAATCAATTGCATCTGGATAAGTAGGTAAAAACTAATAGAGAAAAAATAGAATCAATAACAGATTAGAAACAATATACAAAATATTTTTCTCAAAGAAGAAAATCGATCCTACTGAATGCACAGTGTCCCCTTAAGGAAATTATTCCCCTCAATCCGAGGTTAATGGAATATGTCTTCTTAGGATAGAACAATCTTACTCACCGGTGTATCCGTATCTAAAACCACAGTGTCAGCGAACCACTCAACGGCAGTAAAGTACACTTAGAATGCTAGATTTAGTAGTAGTAGTAGAAGAAGTCCAGAAAATTGGTTCTCTTAAAATGATTTATAGACAACAAAGGATATTGTGAAATGGTGCTTATTGTTCCTTACCGGAAAGGTCTCAACCCTTTGGAAAAGTCACAATCTTTCGGAAAGGTCACAGCCTTTCATAAAAGTCACAACTTTTCATAAAAGTTACAACTCTTCATAAAAGTCGCAACTTTTCATAAAAGTTGCAACTCTTCATAAAAGTTGCAACTCTTCATTTTCCATTCACACCTTTTAAAACCCAACAATCTCCCGCATGAATGGGGAATGACTCCAAGACAAAGAAACGAACAAGTGTATATATTTTACAAGCAAGAATCAATTGCATCTGGATAAGTAGGTTTCCCTTTAAACTTTCCGTAGTGAATAAATATGTCGGATATACTCGGTCAATCGGTAGATTTGATATCTTTAAAACGTCAACATTTGGTGTATACCTAGACAATCATATGTCACACAATCAACCCTTTACCATTTATGGTTCTTACAGTTGTGTTTGTTTCAGCCATAAACACCTCCTGATTTCATGAGTGTATAGAGAGATGGGCTTTTTACAATCATCCTCTTTGAAACGTCTTACACTTTACACTCACATAGGTGATTTCTAACCATGTTATCCCATAGATACACTATTTGGTCAAATATGTCAAATTTAGCTAATCATTAAAAACTTTAAGCTTTATTAACTCATTAACATGCCTTAAAGTTGTATCCTTGTTCCTAGGGGTGTTCACGGTTTGTATAAAAACCGATCCAAACCGAAAAAATGAACCAAATCGATAAAATAAGACCGATTTTATTTGGGTTTGGTTTTGATTTGGTTTTAGATTTTTGAAAACCGATAGTATTTGGTTTGGTTATGGTTTTATTCGGAAAAAAACCGAAGAAATAACCGAACCGAACCGATGAATTATATACATATATTTTATTAATATACATACTTAATATATTATTTTTATAAACAATTTTAAAGATATTATACATATTTTCATTAAAATTTCTTTATAATTTACTTATTGAGAGCAAAAATGTCCAAGATGAAACATTTATCTTATTGATTTCATGTATATGAGTGTCTATGACAATTCTTTGTGGGATTGAAAATGTTATTGTCTCTTCTTTATAGGTCAATATAATGAATTTTAAAGCTTTATTGATAGTAAATTTAGTGATCGAAAGTTCAGTAATTTAAGTCATTCTAACTATTTTTCGTTTTGAATGGATTGTTGTCACTTTTTTCACATTTTGAATGACTTGTTTCTTTTATTTTTGTGTATGGTTAATAACTGAATAACCGAACCAAACCAAATCGAAACCGATAACCACCAAATCAATAAATGTATATTATATTTGGTTTGGTTTGGATTTGATAATTTTAAAACCGATTAAGTTGGTTTGGTTTCGGTTTTGATCAACAACCAATCCAAACCGACCCGTGAACACCCCTACGTTGTTCCTGAGCATTGTCTTCATCATGAGAATGGATTGAGTTGGTTGACAATGTCGAACTGTTAGTCACAACTTTATTTTCTCCTTGAACCTAGCTCTTGGGATCTCCAGTCTGCTAGTTAGTGTTACCTCCATGATGACTTGTTAAAGCCGTAAACCCATTCCCTTAGATGATCTTTCAACTTTCTCTCTAGTTAGGCCTTTTTATAAGTGGATCTGACACATTATCATTTGACTTTACATAGTCAATTGTAATAATTCCACTAGAGAGTAGTCTTATAACTCTATTATATCTACGTCTTATATGACGAGACTTTCCGTTAAACTTCATGCTCCATGCCCTACCTATTGCATCTTGACTATCAAAGTGTCTGCATACTGATGCCAATGGTTTGGGCCAAAAGAGAATATCTATCAAGAAATTCCGGAGTCTTTTAATTTTTTCACCGGCCTTATCTAGAGTGACAAGCTCAGAGATCATTTTAGAGTTAGCGATACATGTTTGTTTGGAAGATTTCCAAGACATTGCTCCTCTATCGAGAGTAAATACATACCCACTTGTGGATTTTACTTTATTTGATCCCAGTGATCCAATTTGAATCACTATAGCCTTTCAATATTTCTGGATATCTGTTATAATGCAAGGCATAGTTTTGAGTAGCATAATCCAATTGTGAGTCACTTCTGGATATTTGTTATATTTGATCGCGTACACTTCCTGATGTACGTCATACTTCCTAATACTCTAGCATAATCCAATTGTGAGTCACTTTCGTCTTCATTCTTTTGAAGTGAAAAGCTCACATTTATTGTAGTCTTGACAATATTAAAATCCAAATATTTGAACTAGTCAAGTACCTTTTCAATGTAATGAGACTGTAACAATGCTAAACATTATGGAGTTCTATCAAAGTTTCTTTCTAGCATATGTTTTCATATCGCATCATCAACTCCAAGATCTTTCATATTAAAGTTGCTTTCTAGCATATGTTTAGTAGCATTTATGTCATTCGTGTCTCTACTGACGATCATTATGTCACCAATATACATCAAACAATGACCTTGTGATTCATCATGTATCGATAAACAAATCTTGCTAGCCTCCCTCTTGTTCTCATTCTCCTCTATCCATATACAAGTGTATCTGATAGCAAAAAAAATGTATCTATATGTATCTGACTTGAAATAATTTAAATATCTTAATTTTTTTTTTCATTTTAATTTAAATAACTTAATTTTATAAAAGATTATTTAATTAACCAACTCTTGATCTCAATTCTATATTAACTTAGTCAACTCAAATAATGAAACAAAATTCCATTTAATAATGAGATATCCAATCTGAAAACAAACCATGTTTATGTAATTGTTGCTCTACACAAAGGAAATTTAAGCAAAGTATCAACATGTGACATGTCGCTAAATATTTTTATTTATTATTATTGTTAAATATTATACAACGATAATTATATTATTGTCACAATTTTGACGGTATCACCCCATAACATTATTTTTTACACATAGGATGAATGTGTTGATTTGTTCAATTTTATATAAGTTTAAATACTTATTTGTGCACACTCAAAATTAAAAAAATATAAATATTAGTTGAAATCAATTTAAAAAAATATGTTTATGTATTATGCCATAAAATAATGCTCCATTTCCCAAATGGAATTGCAAAACATGAAGATTAAGGTTGTTCCTCCACCAGAGAGAGTACAGTGTCCACCCTCACTTCACTTAGCACCTTCCAGTAAGCAAGTTTTTATTTTTTTTAAATCTTCTCTTGCATATTCTTTTGCATTTTAAACTACATCATTTTATATAGGGATAAGGGTCTAAAAAATATCCCAACTTTGGTCGGATTTGTTGTTGCGATACTAAACTTTCATAAGGACCTATTACCTCCCTAGACTATTTAATACCGTATTTTTTACCCCCCCTGAGCTATTTAATAGTGTATTTTAAAGGTATATATGTGCCCACGTGGACACATTACTATTTATAATTTTGCTTTATTTTTTATGTCCACGTGAGCAAATATATATGTTTAAAATACGGTATTAAATAGTCTAGGGAGGTAATAGGTCCTCATGAAAGTTTAGTATCGCAACAGCAAATCCGACCAAAGTTGGGGTATTTTTCAGACCTTAATCCCTAAAAATCCCCTAAAGATATAATATCAAAAATCGTACTCTAAGTCATATAAGGAAAGTTTTTGCATCACTTAGCAACAATCTGTGCAAGCAATTTTTTTCCATCATCATTTTCTCTGCCATATAATTGCTATTATTTTCTCCTTCAAAAGAATTATGTGTCAATATTGGGCACGGGCCTTGCCTCTCTAGTTTATTTATACATCAAATTTTATTTAAATTTATTATATAAGGAAAGTTTTTGCATTACTTTTGTATTAGGGTGATTTTATGTAACTAATTTTGAAATATAACGACATTTTTTTTTTTGCATTTAGATTTCACAATCCTTCTTAAATTTGGTTCCCATTACCGGCTTTATACAAACAAACTTAGAAATAAAATAGAAAAAAAGGCCTTGGTATTTGCATTACAGTTAATAACTGATTTTATTTAATGAAACAGAAAAAGGAGACTTTAAATTTATTATATATGGAAAGTTTTTGCATTACGTTTGTATTAGGGTGATTTTAGGTAACTAATTTTGAAATATAAGGTAAGTTTTAGCATTTAGATTTCCCAATTCTTCTTAAATTTGGTTTCCATTTTTTAATTACTTTACCGCCATAATATAAACAAACATATATAGAAGGCCTTGTGCATCAATACAGTTCTTCGAATTTCTTAAAAAAAGTTTCAATTTACAGCCTTAGCACAATTTTTCTATACAGTTCTTGTATCAAATTTCTATAGAGTCAGCTAATAATACATCACGTAAACTAATCATATATCGTTGATCAACACTATTTTGGGCCATTTGCCTAAAAATAAAAAAGTTTTTTTTCACTCTTTTCAACAATTATGACGAGTGATTCTCCAAATTTAGAATTAGGAGTCAGGTTTCGACCCACAGATGAACAACTTATTCGCTACCTAATCAAATTTGTTGCTTCTAAAAATTACGTTTGCAACGATATTGAATTTGAAGATCTTTACAGGAGTAAGAAGCCATGGGAGTTATTGGAAGACTCATCAGATACTAAATATTTCTTTACTAAATTAAAGAAGTTAGAACTGCACCATACAAGGTTTATTCGGACTTTGATTGGAGGAGGAAGTTGGAAAGGGAAGGGCAAAGGAAAACCGGTAGGTGCAAAGAAAGTCGGGATAAAAAAAACTTATAACTATGAAGAAAATAAAAAGGATGGTAAGGATGAAGTTAATGGTGTTTCTTGGATCATGAAAGAGTATAGTCTTGACGACAAGGTAAAAAAGTTGTTAACAAATAGAGGTATAATGAAGCACGAGGATGTTGTTTTGTGCTACATTAGGTGTAAAGTTAAAAAATCAGGAAATCATATGCCTACAACAACTGTCAGTGAAAACGATGATGATGATACACAACCCCAGAGGCCTATCTGCACTAGTGAATCAGGAAATCATATGCCTACAACGACTGCCCGTGGAAACGATGATGATGATAATTGTTGGAATGTATGCGTCCACTAGTCTAGATGGGACCAGGTCCTCAACACAGTTACAATAACAGAAAATAAACAAAGTGCTGAAAGTAAAGATTGCACAACAACTTTACGTGGAAACCTCCTTGCTCAAGGGAGTAAAACCACGACCTGGCCTGCCAGGACTTTTCAAACTTCTTTCACTAATCTTCTCCAAGCAAAAGTAAAAGCAAGTTTACAAACCGAGATTAGACTACTAATCCCAACTCTAAGCAATACCTCCTATTACTTAGATGAGCCAGAACAGATACAACATTGCCCATTAAGCTATCACCCTTAGATAACTTAGACTTTGCTAAGCGGATACAACACCGCCCACTATACTAATCCTAACCGATTAATATAGACTTTTAGAGTAAGAACCTAAGTTACCCTTAACCTAGTTCTTACAATGATTCAAACAAGTTTGAAACGTTTCTTTCACAAGTGAAACGGATCTTACAATATCAGAACTATTACAAGCAAACAAAAGCAGCTGGTACAGAAAGCAAATCGCAGCACTTCAATCAAGTCCCTTGCTGTTCTTGAAGCTTGAAAGACTCTCTCTTTGAATGAATGAATAATATTGTTGTGTCTTGTTTGGTATATACCATAAAAAGTTATTACCAAACGTACAAGCAACCTCCTTGCTTCTGATTGGTAAAGTACTCTGCAG